CAATATCGGGTTTAATCTCGAAAAGGGTCGAAGATCACCGGGAAAACGAAGATAATGCTGATTCTGGAGTTAATTTCTAGCCACCCTGCAATGCACAAAACGATACATCAGGTATCGATGCATCAATAAGCTGCCCCCTCGTTATTTATAGGACATACACACAAATCCCACTGCCGAGGCAATCCAGCGCAGCTGGGGGCTTTTGCTTTCCTTCCTCGAAGGTATTTATTCTTGCAGGAACAAATTTTAAAGAACAAAAAGCACTTCGTTATGGTGGGAGAAAAAAAAAACTGTAAGTTTACAGAATGTTCTCTTTTGCCACGCGATAAGAGGTTAGACTTTGGTGGGGCTTCTGTGAAATATGATCTGATTTTCCTATGTTCCTTCCTCCCTGCCTGCTAACCCAATGTAGTCGATTGACATAACGACTGGTCTACGCGTCAGGCTTAGGAGAAGTGGCAACGACAATTCGCCGCGTGTAACGTGGGAGTATTTGTGAAATTCCTTCTCTCTGCGACAGACATCACTGCGACTAGCCTCGTGAATTGAGATCATTTTGAGTGCGAACGATTGATGGCATTGACGAAACTCTGTTGCATAACCAAGGATTTTTACCAATGTTCCCCAGGTCGCTTACTGCGGATCATATCGTAACGGTTTCTCCCCGCAACGTGTTTTTCGAGGGGGGCACACGTCGCGACTCGCCCAATAGACCTGCACGTGCCTTCGTCTGGTCCCTCAATGAGCTCCAGATGACGATACTCTTCACTTGTTCTATTCTCCTAATCTAATCTTTGTTTTTACTCACCCATAGATTTCAATAATTAAATCACCCACGAAAGGATTGACCAAATTTCCCCTTTCACGACTTGCACGTAACCAAGTGGTCAATCATCTCTGATGTACGCCAACTCGTATCTTTCTTGTTCTAGTTCTTACTCAAGAAGCTGAGTTCTGAGTTCCGATCATCTTTATGTCTTACTGCCTGTTACAGGTCGAAACTGTTTGCTTTGACTCCTCATAAGTTTTCTTGTAACTC